ATGCATTTATTGCTTTTAAGACATTTACCATATTAATTAACGACTGTTTACTTGTATTTTAAAAATAAATAAAAGTTTTTATGCTTTGATGAATGAAACATCTATGAGCAACGGGATGTTAAAGATGCGTCTTTTGCTTCACACAGGGAAACATATTGCTTTTACATCTCTCATTTTATAAAAAGCAGACTGATTCAGTTCTCTGAGAATCTGTGAATTATATTTTGTCGTGTAGCACTGTATAAGCTGGGTAAAAACCATACATTTCCTTTGAGGTATAAAAATAACAAGCATATCATATGCAAAAATTTGCTTATTCCTTTCCTTAGATAGAATCATCTGCAAATCAAGCATATTAATGATAGAGTTGCTTAAGCCGTGAAACACTGGTAGTATGCAGCAAGTTCGTTTGTATGACTGTAAGCTCTGAACTGCATGGGAGTCCCTCAGTGTATTATATAAAAGAAGTCCTTTACACTTTATAAAGTCCCCACAAAAAGATCTTCCTTCTAACATAGTTAATCGATCAGTACTTCCGTATTGGTTAGGTGATTTGAATATAGCAAAGCACACAAGAGCTATCTGACTAAGGGGTGAGATGCATTTGTGGAGGATTTTCTAAAGGAAACAAGCTTGTATTTCCATTACACATGGGAAAACCAACAAACCGACCATGAATACAGCATGTTCGCTTGGATTTAAAGAATGTCAAACTACCAGTATTCAGTGCTTTAACTACTTGTCTACTGGTGGAGCACTTTGATAATATATTTAAGGGATTTTTTAGTTAATATTTATAATGTTATTTACAACTGTTTGTAGTTCTGTCTTTTTTTTTAAATTTATTTTTTGCCTTGAAAACGGCCCTTGTATTTTTATCGAGGTATTCAATCCCGCTAAGATTATACGAAGTAACAATATCATTATACAGTCAAAAGTCTTTAATCTGGACTCGTCGGGACTTCGGCGATTCCGGATTATTGATTTTTCCGGATTATAGATCATCAGTTTAAATCTGGTAAGATCGCATGCAGAAATTATAAAATTAAAAATATGAAAACTGTATTTTTAAAATAATGAGCAATTATGATCTAAAGGGTATCAAAATTTTACAAAAAAGAAGCTTTAATATTTATTTGTTTTACTTTATTAAAACATTTCTTTCAACGCGGGCATGCGTAAAGCATACCTTACGCATAGTCGAAATTAGAAAATTGCAACCAGAAAACTATTTGATTTGTATTCGTGATATTTATAATGACGAGGAATTTGATTTAAATTATATCAAAGACGGAGCAGATCGAGATGAAATACAACATTTAGTAAGGATTTATGAGCCGAATAAAATAAAAACATCTGCCCTGAAGATAACGATAGTGCTGACAGATCAACTTACAGTTCATTGCTCGCCGTGACGTCCCCCCCCCCCCCGCGCACAGAGCAGCGTGAAATTGATAAACAGATTTCGGGGAACAGTTAGATAAACAAAGGATATGCCTTTATCCATTTTTTTGTAGCAATTCCACTTTTTGTTTGATGGACATCGAAACATACTTTCGTTTTGTAGATCCTTTGGGAGCTCCAGCATTCGGAAATTCTATTTGACATAATCGAAAGTTCAAGCTTACTTTTTAAAATTGCTCTTACAGTCTGCAAAAAATAATAAGCCGGATCCAATTCGAAGATTAAGGAACAACGCAATCATCAACATTAACTGAAATAGATAATTAGATAATTTTAGCTTATACCGTCCGTTATTAAACGTGCACGCGAAAACGTATTCTACGCTTGCGCAGACGCATATGCAAGTCGTAAAGATCTTGCGCGCACGAGTAAATGCCTATGCGCATGCATCAACGCGGCGCATGCGCAGAAAGATTTTAGCTTTGAGGTCCAGATTATAGATCATTCCGGATTAACGACTTTTGACTGTAGTAAAAAAATGCTCCGGTAATTTGACAAAAACATTCATCTTAGCGGAACTCTTTTTTCAGGTTTATGAGGTTTTTCAACTTTCTGAGGTTGAAAATTATGCACATATGTCGAAGATGAATAAGAATACCATAACAACTGCTTTTTTCTCTTCCCGGTCAGTGAATGAATGGTTTAATTGCTTTTCTTGTCAAAAGTGGGTTGAGGTCGGGGTTGCTGGAATTTGCAGTTTCTATATGCAGTAGAACTATATTCTACAGTGGACACATACACTTTCTTCTATATCCAGTGTTCTCAACTTAGGTTGACCTGTAGTATATTATTATTATTATTATTATTTTGGGGGGGTGTATGCAACACGGTAAATATACACTGACAAGTTAATGAAAATTATTGACAAAAACATTTTTACTTATGCTAAAAACATTGTACATTTACTTTCTATTCAAGCAATCATTTAAAAATTCAACAAATGGTGGTAACAGTGTATATTAATATAAAATATATAGTACAAGTATATATTGTAAATCAGTGGAAGAATAATATAAATGATATAACATGCAATCAATTATTAATGCAGATGATATTAATGCTGATAACAATTACATATCACATACACACATTACACATATATACAAATTCACTTACATGCTGTTATACTGAGAAGATTGATATGCAGTTAATGAATACAAACTAATTCTGTTCTTAAAAATTAGTTTAAAAAATCTACTAAGAATCACCCACTTTTTATTTACAGAAAGTTTTATTTAAATGTGTCTAAGAAACTATCTCCAAATTTTTGGAAAAAAAAAAAAAAAAAGAGAGAAGAGCCAAGAACAGAGAAATTTAAAGTTGAGAGAATTTGCAAATTCCTTTATGCATTACGGTAAACAAAAAAGTTTATTCTGTTTTATTTACTTAATTTCCGATTACATAAAAATATTAATAAATAAAACAGATACACTTAATTGCAAATATATGATTAAATTATTTATACAGTTTTAGAATAACAAATTAATAATGATAACTAAACGCTTAATTTAGCAAACAATTCAGGTTAATGGGAAAAGGTCATATGCATAGAGCAAAGTATTCATAATTAAAAGGCTTTTTTTTAAAAAAAATTAACAAACGAAATATTTAGTTTGATTGCAAGAAATTAGTTTCATAAAAAAGATAAAAGTTACAAACTTCTATATTACTACCATTATATTAATCCTCAGAATTTTTAAGACATAAATTTACTATTATTACTGTATACTTCAAGAATACACATGTTCAAAAATAAAAAAAATTACTAATACAGGTATTAAATAACAAGAAGAAAATGGAAGCAATAAAAGCCTAAGATGCGCAGAAAAGAAAGTCTGCTAGTTTAAGGGCCTTATTCACTTGATACATAGTAAATCACATTAATTTTATAATTTTAGCAAAAATGAAAAGTATTTCAATATATATTGAATATTAAATAGTGAATGCAAATTAAAATATATCTATAAAACAGTATTCTAAGTGAAGGTGATAAAAGATTATGGTATATTTAAATTTGGCAGTATGCAAGTTAAGTGCATATAATGCCTTTAAACAATGGTTAAACAAGTTTAAACAAGTGCATATAATACCTTTAATAATTTAAATGCCTTTAAACATTAATAGCTTTTCTATGAAAAGTATAAAAATCACCAGCCTTTCTATGAAAAGAATGCAATAAAGCAGTAGTAAGAAACATATCACTCTGAAAGCAGAGGTTTTATTACACGAGGAAAATGTGATTTATTTGCTTTTACTGCTAGAAAATCTATACTATTAAAATATGAGTGCATCTGCCTGTCTGTTTGCTGCATTACCTGCTCCGGAACAACGGGAAATTGAACTTCAAGAGAGGTAGCCCTGGATTCCAAAAATTCGAGGGAAGCCATTTTGACCATTCTCATTTTTGTACGACTTCAATTATCCGAGATATTCTGTTTTTATTAAAAACGCGGAAAAATGCCAATTTTCGCCCTCATTTTTCCCAGTGGCTACAGTCTCTGATGCTGGAGATGAAAATCTGCTTTATTTCAAAAAGTGTTGCTACTGCTCGCTTTCAAATCATACACTTTGTTAATAAAAAAATTGTAAGCTTTATAAAATATGAAATAAAATAGCATTGCCAAATTTTAAACATATTATTATATAATGTAATATTCTGACATTTAAGAAAGCACACGATTGTATATGATATCATTGTATGTCAAAAAGTTTTCATTAATGTCAGCATTTTAAATAAATAGCTGCTGTTGACAACTTTTCATTTCAGGTTAGTAAAATTTACATGATATATTAATGCTACATTAATTCTTTTATTGATATTGAGAAAATGTTGTTAGATTACACTAAATTTAAATCACGATGGTCATAAATAATAACCTGAAGTGTCAAAAGTTTTTGTTTCTTGCTTTGGGGAAAAAACATTATCTATGAATTGGTTGTTGCTTGGAAAGAATGAACTGATATGATTCATTCTAAGACGTTTCTATACATTTGCTTTTCAGGGGTACATAGAATTTCTAAATTTTGCTTTGGCTGCAGCCCATTCAACGGGCAAGCTTGCCAGCTAGTATGTAAAAATCAACTGCAGTGGGCAGAATGTGTGTGTGTGTGTGTGATTATGGCAAAGCCTCGAGGGCTATCTGCCAAAGGGGAGGGATGCCTTCGTGGAGGACTTTCTAAGGGAAACTGGCTCGTATACACGTTACACATGGGGAAAACCACGAAAACGCCCATGCAGCCAGCCCGTTCGCGGGATTCGAACCTCGGACCGAACTACCAGTGTTCAGCGACTTTACCGCTCGGCCGCTGGTGGGCTTGGGCAGAATGAAAAATCCTTCATCTCTCCTTGCTATAATCCATATACTGTTATATTTCAGTTATGGAAGTTCTGATAATGCTAGTTGCTACACCATTTCTGGTGCAGATAAACTGACACATTAAGCTACAAGTGAATAAGGCCCTAAATTTCTGAGAGCAAAAGCGGACTAGTATGAAGGCAAAGAAAAAGAAATTAGTTATAAAATTCATGTAATCACCTGAGGCGTCTTTCTTCTTTTTGCGCGCCTTTTTGGCTTCTATGTTGTTTCATGTTTCAATGGAGGAGAAAAAAATTTTCAAATTAGAAGAATTTCTCAATCACAATTATACGTCAGCTTAAAATTTAGAAGGCAAACAAAATAAGCATATCTTTTAGAAACAAAACAAAAAATATGTAAAAAATTTTAAAAAACTATGCCAAAATATAACAAAAAATTATTTAAGAATAGAAAGCCATAATTTTTATAACAAAAAAGAAAAAATAATACTTCAGCCTCCATTGCGTATATACTTTGCATTCCAAACTTAAGGCATATATGTAAAATATTACAAAATTTTAATTTGAAAACCTATATGAAAAGTCATACTTGAGTGAGTTAATATTATTAAGCATATCTTGCTTCCATAGCATAGCTAAGACAAAGCCAATTTAAAAAATACTGTGCAATTTTAAGTAAAAAAATATAAAATTTAAACCTTTCTTCATTTTTTTCTTTTGCTCCTCATCTTCAGATTTAGCTGCTCCAAGTAAAGTGAAAATTATACCAGCTTGTGAATTTACACCAACAGCAGTAACTAACATTTTCCCACTCCCTTCCATAACATGGGTTCCTTGGAATGAAAATAGAAAAATTAAATATGGCTACAAGCAGGAACTTCAATGGTATTTTTTCAATTACAATAAAGCATATGTAATGAACAGATGTAAACATACACATATAAATTTCATTACATGACAAGAAAGCATATAAAGCAAAAGACCAAATATCCAGACACCTTGAATATTGAATGAAGTTAAGAATTTTTTGATATCATATAAAAGAATGCAGTACATAATAAATTAGGGGAAGCAGATAAATTCAAGTAATTCCTTTTTGATAGTTTCTTTGAAACAAGTGGCATTTGAAAAAGAAAATAAGACTAGAAATCATAAAATCATATAAACAGATTTATAAACATAATTTTCACATTTTTACAAAATTCTGTTTTGTAGTAATTTGCTTAAAATTTTCACGATGTTACAGTCAAGTTTCCTTTCTTGACTTTCTCATCATTTTATTGTTCTAAAAATTTTAATATTTTTCATGAAATTTTATCCTTTTTGATTTTTTTTTTTTTTTTTCCATGAGTATGTATTTTCTACATCACTGTCAAGATCAGAATTCTTGTACTAAACTTTAAAAAGAAAATCAATGGCCATAAAATTTCTAAATTATTAAAATTATCTACCTATCTACATATATCGCTATAATCATTACATTATTCATAGTGGTTTAAGTAATGTGAAATTTGTTATTCAACTTACAGTGCACCGTCTGTTCATTTTTCATCATTTCTTTTGCATAAAGAAATAAAGTTAAGTTAATGTTCTTTAGCTGTAGGACATATTTTGGATTCCCTACAGCATTTTGTTTTATTAAAAACCACAAATATTTATAAACTGTGCAGCCCATTTATCAAGGCAGACCTGGAAACAGATGTTTTTAACTAAAAATAAATTACGATTTTGTAAACTTATTAACTATGAATTTCACTATTTACATCTAAAAGGCAGTAAAACTTTGGTGCTAGATTTTTGGTATGGGTCTGGCACTTTTTTAACATAAAACTGATACCTGACACATATAAAGTTTCTTTTTATTTGATTTATGCAATTAGAAAGACAGTATATTACACTATTAAACAGGATAAGAAAGTATAATGAAATACAGCCATTCTATAGCTAGCAGTTTGAAGAAGTTCAAGAATAAGTAAATTAATATTAAAACATTTTGGAAGAAAAACAACATTTTTGGCTGGTGTCTCTTTAAAAGGAAAAGCATTTAAAAAAAAAAAATGTTATTCAATATTACACTACATGAGAGCAACATAAATAGCTTAATTAGCTAACCACACTTTAAGCAGTAAGGGATAAGTTCTATAATCTTTAACCTAAACTCCTTTCATGCATGGGAAAAAATCTGACAAGTGGCAGTAATTAAAAAAACATTTCTCAGATCTCATTACCTGGGCCTGCGGTTTCCAACCTTTTGACTAATGTGTACCATCTAAACAAAAATTGAAAGCCTTTAGTACCATCACTACAAAGTATTACCACCACAACCACTCTTGAACAAAGCTCAGATCACATAAATTTACAAATGCTAGAGAAAAAAACTCAATCAGGATGTTGGGGTTTTAATTTTTGAATTTAATAGTTAAAAATATTTTGCTTCTTTGTGTATCACCTTTTCCTCTTGCGTACCACCAGTTAAGAACCCCTGCTTTAAGAGAATTAATGAGATAATTTTATCTTTTTTATAAGAACTTATTTTTATTTCCTATTAAATACAGCATCCATTTCCAGCATGCCTTTTAAATACATAATTTATGGCAAATTTTGTTATGTCTACAGTTAAAAGAATATTTGTGAAATGTACAACATGGAAGAACCATGAAAACTGCCATGCAGACAGATCGTTCGCCTCTTGCTAAAGCCTAGAAGCAGCTGTTGACCTTCAACAAAGCTCAGATCACAAAAATTTGCAAATGTTACAGAAAAAACTCAATCAGGATGTTGGGGTTTTAATTATTGAATTTAATAATTAAAAATTACTTGCTTCTTTTCATATCACCTATTCTTCTCTTGCGTACCACTGGTTGAGAACCCCTGACCTAGACAACTATCGAAGTACAAAGGGTCCTTATATGCCGCCCCTTTGTTTTTGCAGCTGTTGTCATAAGCTTGCCTCAAGAAACTTGGACATTGCTTTCACATATCCCTGATTGTTAAATAGTCACTAATACAGAATAACTAATGGACTTCATCTTTAATGATTTGAAAGCATTCGTGTCGAAAGGAATTAGAATAACAGCATGCAATTTAAGACACAATAACACGCCGAATAAATACTAATTCAGAAGTCAAACAACAAAAATCAGCGTTATACCTACAAAATTTTCACATTTTACATACCTACAAAATTTGAAAATTTTGTAGGTATAACGCTGATTTTTGTTGTTTGACTTCTGAATTAGCATGCAATTTGTTAACAATTTGAATCTGCTTTCGACTGGCATTCATGCAATTCCTGTTGTTATCTGTCTGGTACTACACAAATTCTTTAGGAGCCCCCTACAGTCTATATCTGTAACTACACAAATATCTGCTTTTGTAAAAACCCTTTAAATATACTTTTATGGAAGCAAAAATAAGCAGTCTATTTCTATTTTCTTTCTAAATTTAAGATCTAAGCAGCAGAACTTCTAAGAGTGTGTGCCTTAAAAAGGTGAACACTTCTAAAGACAATGACAATTATTTCAAATAATATTTATCTGTTTTAAAAAGTAATTTCAATATTAATCCAAAAGTTCTTAAAAATACCTTAAAATAATACATTTAAACAGCTATTATTTAGCTATAACAGCAGGACTTTTATAGCTAAACTTTTAATGACATGAATAATACTGTTTTTTTATTATTGCAGACATTTAATTATTAGGCTTTATGGATGAGATTTGAATTTTCATGTCAGGTGCAACTTAGAGTCTATTGCCATATTAATATTTTGTCAACACATAAGCTGATTTGTATGATTTCTGATGAAAGAAAGTTTCTTCTCTATATTGGCAGCTAAATCTTTGATGCAGTAAGTTTAGCTATTTCTTTCTGATTTTTCATTTAACATACATTTTACAATCTCCATAGCAGAAGGTATGCTGTTTTTTCATAATTAAGCAGGCTTCATCACGTTGAGCCATCTCAAGAGTTGACTGAGTAAGAAGCCTCACTTCCTTTTCCATTGACCATTTTTGTGTCTTAAACCATAAACCTTTTTAATTTTAGGCATTTTAGCTATTTCTTTCTGTTTTTCATCTACTATACATTTTACCATCTCTATAGTGGAAGGTTTACTAAGGTATTCCATACTTAAGTATGCTTCACCATTTTTGAGACATGAGAGAGTTGATTGAGTAAGAAGTCTCACTTCCTTTTTCATTGATCATTTCTATGTCTTAAACCATAAACCATTTTAATTTTAGGAAGTCTGCTACATTTTCGAATGAGGAATTCAATGTTTTTACCTTTAAACTCAGCATCAACAGACTGCAAATAACAATGCTTTTCAAATGGAGCAATAGAACTATTTTTGAGAACTTTGCTGCAAGTAACATAGTAAGGATTATCATTATTGTTCCCAAAGACTAACTTTCATCATGCTTCCTAAATTTTTAAGTAAATGCTCTGGGTTGATTAACTGTTAAAGCATTAACTTCTTGTGGGGCTATTTCATTTATATTGCTCTCATCATTACTATCATTATCTTTAGCAAAAGAGCTAGTTGTGAGACGAAAGCAGAAAAATGAAGTTTTGAAGTAAATGCTTTAGAATGCAGTTTTTAAGCCACCTCTCCATCCTGTAACAAAATATTGAAAACGATTTTAAGGCAAAAAAAATGTAGTGACAGCTACCTTTTAAGGATGGATAAAGTTCAAAAGCTTACTTAAGTCGATAATAATGTTAACAGCAAAATATAAAATACAGTACCGGACGTCCATAATCCAGAATGATCTATAATCCGGACCTCAAAGCTACAAACTTTCTGTGCATGCATCAATGCATAATGCATTCACGCATGCACATATGCATCTACGCATAAGCATACCTTTGCGTTTATGCATGAGCATAATATGTGTACGCATGCGCATTTAATGTATAACAAACGGTATAAGCTAGGCTAAAATTATCTAATTATCTATTTCAGTTAATGTTGCATATTGCATTGTTCCTTAATCTTCTAATTGGATCCACATTATTATTTTTTGCAGACTGTTAGAGCAATTTTATAAAAAGTAATCTTCAACTTTCAATTATGTCAAAACGTGTTTCCGATTCTGTAGCTGCCAAAGGATCTACAAAGCGAAAGCATGTTTCGATGTACCGCTTCCGATAGTGAAGAAAGTGACAGTGAGGTTATTGAAAACGAAAAAATTTCGATTGACAAGTTAGTTGGTATTCTTGACACAGCAATTACAGGACTTGAACAGTGGAACTGAACAAGAAATTATGTCTGTTTATAGAATTAAAGAGAAAGTATTAGCACAACAAACGAGGCAACTTAAACAACTTACATTGAAAGAAATGTTTAATAAAGAAAACAAATAAATATTAAGCTTTTTTTTTGTGTGTGTGTGTGTGTGTGTGTGTGTGTGTGTAAATTTTGATATCCTTTAGATCATAATTGCTTTTTAGTTCATAAATTATGGTTTCATATTTTTAATTTTATAATTTCTGCATGTCATCTTACCAGATTTAAATTAATGATCTATAACCCACGAGTGTGGATTAAAGACTGTGTACTGTACAAGCTAATTACTGATACAATTTCTAGGCTTTTAAAACTTAGATAAAATGCACAAAATACAAAATATAACAGCCTGTCTCTATCTGCCCTGGATCACATAATGCTTAATAAATAATGGTGATTCACCAAGCTTTAACATCTGCTATGGATCATGTGACAGGATAATATTTCGGTTGGAATGTGCATATGACAGAATGTAGCCCAATTTTGATTTGTATCTGTGCGGATTATACAATCTTAAAAAAATAAATGTTTGTCTTTTATCCTAGTTGAATTTTTTTAGAATTTATATTATGGCTCCCGAGATGTGTTATTTACTTCTAATTTTATAGAAGAGTAGTACGTGTGATATGGTGTTATAAGAACCGATAAAATTTATCAATAAATAAACTTATATCAAAAAAAGTAAATTTAAAAAAAAAACTTTTAATCAATTTATATTTTATCAGATATATATCCACACATGGCTATTATGCCCAGCTATTTGTGGCACGCTTTTATATTCAACCACATGGGATTCTCCTGTATTTTTTTAACTGGTGGATTTCCATGTATTTCTAGATCTGTGGAATTCCTTATGTGTACCGATCAATAAAGAAATGAGCAGAGGACTCGCCTGTTGTTGGATTCTGAGTGATTTTCGTGTGTAGCTGCCATAAAATAGTAAAAAAAAAAAAAAAAAAAAAAAAAAAAAAAACATCCCAATAGCATAGTCCCAATTCCTGACATTAGACTGTGCCTATTAGCATCGATTATTCAGATTAGTAAGCGGAAGCAAAAGTTAGTTCTTCTTATATATATATATTTAATCTAATAATTGTACTAACTTTTATAACTTTTTGTAGGTTATGAAAAAAAAGCACAAAGTTTTGCGAAACCCTTGACTAATCTTAACAGAAACTCAGATTTCCATGAAACATTGTTTAAGAAATGATGACCTAGATTATAAAAACTAAAAGCACTTTCAGATAATAAAAAATGTAAATTTTACGAAAGGTCAAAATACTAACTACCAAAGAACTAACCATAATTTAAAAAAGAAAAAAATATATGTGCATACCCGATAGTAAAATTGGATCAATATTTTCCCCCTTTTTAACATGATCAGATTCTCCTGTTAAAGAGCTCTCATCTACTTTTAGGTCATTGCTTTGAATTATTAGACCATCAGCTGGTAAAAGATCACCTAAGAAATGAAATAATATTATATAACAAACAGAAAAACAAAACAATATCACAGAAAAACTGCAAAAATATAAATTGGTAAGAAAAGGAAAGAACAACAGGTAAAGAAGAGAACACAGGAGTGGAATCCAATACTCCACCAACCATTCGCTGGGTGCAGCACTAGTATAATGATGTACAGTACAAAGTCCATAATCCGGACGTCCATTATCCGCAATGATCTATATTCCGGAACTCAAAGACACAAACTTTTTTGTGTGTGTGCTTTACGCATACACATAAAGAATGTGCATACATTATGCATGAGTGTAATGTATGCTTTACGCATGTGCGCGTTGAAAGAAATGTTTAATAAAATAAACAAATAAATATTATGGCTTTTTTTTTGAAAAATTTGATACCATTTAGATCATAATTGCTCTTTACTTCATAAATTACGATTTCATACGTTTAATTGTATAATTTCTGCATGCCATCTTATCAGATTTAAACTGATGATCTATAATGCGGAATCGCTGAAGTTCCAACGAGTCCGGATTACGGACTTTGTACTGTATAACACAAGAGTCAGGGAGCTTCTCTCTATGGTATTTTGTAACTCTAATTTAAATATCATGGTTGTGTGGGCAGAACTGTGGTTCATTCGAAAACACATCATACCATTTGGATGTCCACTTCTACTGTTCAATGCATCACTAAAGGTAAGCAAAACAAAGGTGCCTAATTCACTGTAGTACACTGAATTGTTCATGCAGACACTGATTGTTGTGTTACAGACTGCATTTATTATGATATGGTTGTGTGGCAGTGTGCTTCATCAATGACATGTGTACAATACGCATGTCTTCCAAACATGGATGACGTTATTGCAATTGCTCTTGTCTGTCACTCGTTCTATCTTGAATTTCCCGATTCCATATGTGCATGACTGTTGCTTGGCTATGTCCAACATGAAAACTGATTTCACAGAAGAATAATCTGCAATCTCTGTATGCTATGATTCAGTATGAATTGAACTCAGAAACATGATCAAACGACGATCATGATTTTTTAGAGTTGATGTCGATCAAATGTTTACATCTTGGGCAATCAGTTGCCCAAGATGTACACATTTGTCAATCCTGATATGCCCATGATTCAAATTTCATGCCATTTGGATGTTTCATTTATGATGTTGCATTCTGGATGACCAGCAGTTTAAATATAACAGAGATGACTCATCACAGACACTGAATTAAGCAATATGGCACAGCTTGAAGTAGTTTTAAATTGTGAGCAAAAGCAAAATGTAAATAGTTGAATTCACAAACTAAAGATCCTTAAAAATATAAAATATCTCTAAGATTACATAGATAAGTTTCTAAATTCAGTTTTTCTTCGCAATATTATATAATGAAATCGCTGTCTGTCTTCTCACAATGATGATTTACCCACTTATGTAATTCACCATTTCTGGTTCCAAATGAAGTTCAGTAATAATATTATCAGAAGTAAATAACATTTTCTATTTCTCCATCCATTACTTCCTGGGTTATTCTTTTACCCAAAAAAAAAAAAAAAAAAAAAAAAAAGAACATAGCTCAGATAATACAAACAATATACAGAGTCATTAGGTTAATTTGATGTTGGAGACATGAAAAATGAGCAATGCCCCATTGGGACTCAAACCTGGACTTCTCGAATACGTGCAGAGTGTGCTAACTGTTAGGCCATGAAGGCATGCTTGAGAGAGTGAAAAAATACCTTATGTACCCTTCCTTTTAGATGGTGACTAGGGATTCGATGATCCAATCACCAAATCCTGGTGGTAAAGAATCATAATCCACCATCTTCTAGTTCGAATGTCACTGGAGAGTCATTAGCTTATTATTATGCTGGAGATTTTAAAAATGAGCCATGCCTTTACAGGTGTTATGTATTAATCGTTTTATTTATTTTTTTTTATTCTTAAGTTGTTTTGCTTATTTCAGTTTTGATTTTGTAATTGAAGTTCTAATTCCTCCCCCCTGTTTAAAGTTGGTTGTAAGTTTAAATTGTAACTTTTGGTAAAACTTTAAGCTTTGGTTAGGTTGCTTTAAAAGTTTTTTGAGTTGAAGTTGTTTAATTTTAATTTGAGTTTAGGGACTAAAGATTTTTGGTTTTTGTATCTTGTTGTTTTGACCTTTAAGGTTGTTTAACTTTTAATTTTATTTTAAAGCCTTGCTGTTGCACCTCTGGTGTGTTAATTCTTTTTCTTAAGCTTAAGTAATTTAATTTGTATCCCTCTTTCTTTTAAAGTTAAATGAATACATACTTTCTGACTGGCGGTAGAAGAAGAAAAAAATATATATATATTGATTTTATTTGTATTTCATTTTGGATAATATGTGAGTGGACTTAAATTGTGGCTGAGGAAACAATTATTAAAGTGCTGACATTTTTATTATGAATTATAATGTTGTGTAATTAGTAGCTTCAATTTTTAATTTCCCAAAGTCATTTTGTATTAACTTGGTTCAGAGATTTTTCACCCCTTGCCCTCGGCTTGGATTTCTTCCAGCAGAAATTCTTATCAGCAGTTGTACTACACCCAAAATTCCTTCTACCAAGCATTCCACCATCTGCATTATCGACCCTGGAACGCGGCTAGTTTCTTCCCCCCCTGTTTCCATCTGCAGTTTTGATGACACATTGGTGTGGCCTTGGAAGTTGAAGGATGGAATAGCGAGAAACGGCTCTTCTGGTAGTCAGGAAACCCCTTCTCGTGAAGATTCCTAGCTTTGGGTTGCTGGTTTTGGCTTCCTGCTGATCAACATCTACGCCAAGTTTTCAAAAAATGCGCCAGCTACTAAAGGGGCTGCGCAGTGTTTTCCAGGGAGAGACCCAGAGACGGAGAAAAGAAATTTCAAGAGAAACCTTCGAAGCACCAGAAAAAAAAAAAAAAAAAAAAGGATGTCATCTTTGTAGCCAGCTGGGAGGGGAGCGGCATCGTAGACATAGCAACGTAAAATAACCAGCACCGAAGAGAGGCTTCAACATCTATATTTCTTGCTTATTTACGCTTTCATTGATGGCCTGTGGAGGGAAGACCTGTGTCCTACTGGGTAGAAGCAGCGATAGGAGGGAAGCCTATCCTCCGAAACAATAGCCTTAGTTAAATTTTATCAACTTAATAACTTTTTTTTTTTACTTCCAGATCTTTTTCCATGGATCAATTTGTTCGCCTGTAACCAGTAATCTACAAAAAATTGTATGATGGATCCCAAATCCGGAACTGTGAAAAGTATATATTTATATATGTTAAAGAAGGGTATGTCATCCTTTTCTGTTGTTTCCTCAGTACTTTAATTGATCCAGCCACCACGTTTTAATTGTAACGTAAATAGTGAGTGTCATGACTCTCTTCTGATTTGTAATCATAATATTTTCCTACCATAAATAAATGTTAGTTTGATTCTATTATCCTGTTTGTAATTATTGCAATTAGCTCTTTACACTGGACCTTAAACATAGAATGGGTTTTGACAATACACAATGCAATTTCGTAATGTAGAATTGCTTGCATTTTTTGTTTTATGTTACACTATGATAACTACTCTTATTACAGTTTTGTGATTTGGTAAAATATTGATTGAAATGTTCTGTTATGTGACTATATACACAGTTACCTACCTCATAATCTAGTATGAACCTGACAAAGGTTATTTCCCAGAAATGATGTTCAGTTGTAATTATTAAGTTTGAATTTCTATATTGTTCTTATATAACACTGGGACTCAAACCTGGACCTCTCAAATATGTGTCGAATGTGATAAATGTTACACCACAAAGGCATGCTTGAAAGAGAGAGAAAATACCTTATAACACATAAATCATTACAAACGTTTCCCAAGAAATCTATGCAGAAAATGTTATGTTAAAGATGTGACTTACAAATGTTAATGTGGAAAAAGAATAACCCAGGAAGTAATGGATCGTTTGAATTCACCAACTAAAGATCCTTACAAATATAAAATATCTCTCGGATTACATAGATAAGTTTCTAAATTCAGTTTTTCTTTGCAATATAATGAAATCTCTGTCTGTCTTCTCATGTCATTCACCATTTCTAGTTCCAAATGAACTTCAGTAATAATATTATCAGAAGTAAATTTCTCCATCCATTACTTCCTGTGATATTCTTTTACCACATTAATACTTGTAAATCACATCCTTAACATCATAGCATTTTCTGCATAGATTCCTTGGGAAAAATTTGTAATGATGCATGTGTTGTAAGGTATTTTCTCTCTCTTTCAAGCAGGCCTTTGTAATGTAACGGCACATATTTTGAGAGGCACACATTCGGCACATATTTCAGAGGTCCAGGTTTGAGTCCCGGCAAGGGCATGGCTCATTTTTTCACATCTCCAGTATCAAAATAACCTAATGACTCTACAGTGACATCCAAACTAGAAGGTAGTATGTTATGATTCTTCACTACCAGGATTTGGCGATTGGATCCCCTAATCCCTAGTCACGATCTAAAAGGAAGAATATATAAGGTATTTTCTCACTCTTTCAAGCCTGCTTTCATGGCCTAACAGTTAGCACACTCGGGACATATTCGAGAAGACCAGGTTCGAACCCAGTGAGGGGCATTCCTCATTCTTCATGTCTCCAACATCAAATTAACCTAATGACTCTACAGTGTGTATTATTTGAGCTATGTCCATTTTGGATCATAAATTAGTTACACAGTAATATGGCCTTAAGCTGCATGTCCGTATTAAGTGGCAAAGTAGCCTTGAGCTCCATATCCATATTATTAGCATCAATTAAGAATGATATTTCACTGAAGTTACAGAAAATTTATTTCTGCTTGTTTTAATTAAATTTATTACAACAGATTTTTAGTGGCTTCAAGATCAGTTTTCTATATGAGAATGTAAGAAGTATGAAAAAACAAGATAAGTATTAAAATGAACAAAAGGTGGTGACAAGTTTCAAATTCACGAAGTTTTACAATGCATTAAGCCTTTTCCTCTGAGCAAAGTAGAAGAATTATGTGCCACAAAATTATTTTAAGTCCTCAAGAGTTTTTTAAGTATAATTATCCCATAACAATGCATAACTCTTTTTAAAGTATTCTTTTAATGTAGTGTATTTATATTATACATAATATATGTTATTTAATTATAATTGTGTTACTCATTTACAATATCTTCGCTTAATAATTTTTCTGCATTTGTTGCTTTCTGCTTCATCTAGTGGAGAAATGGCAGATCATGGTTTTCTGTAAATATATTGATTTGCATAAGATATAAAAAGGAAGGTGGAAAAAACAGCAATTGGCTTTGTTTTTTAAAGAGATACTGGCTATACATATACAATTAATAAAATTTCTCAAAATAAAAAGGCATAATTTTGTAAAATGCTCTGAAGTAAAAAAAAAAAAAAAAAAATATGCATGGTACCCAAAGCTTAAGAATTTCAGTCTATAAAATATTCATAATGCTCTCCTCAGTTGAAAGTGAAAAGTTTCATAACACGACATACAAAAATCATGTGACTATGCTTAATACTTTTTCCCCCAATTAAGATAAAGAGGCTAGCTCTTCTACTTATGAAATTATTAATAAATATATATCACATAATAAAAGCTCACATATATTTAAAAATACATTAATCACATTATACATGCGGAATGAACTAAAAAATTTACTCGAAAACTACACGTATGTTAAAAATGCAGAGTATTTAATGAACTTACCATACTTCACTTGGCATATATCACCTACAACTATTTCTCCCACAGGTATTTGATTCATTTCTCCTCCTCGAATGACAGAAAATTTATGTTCATGCTCTATACGATTCTGTAAGCCTCGAAACTGTCGTTCTTTTGTATAATCATTAAATGCTGTAACAAGGACCACAATAATAACAGACACTAAAATGGCAACACCTTCAATCCAACCAGCTTCCCCTTCACTTTCATCAACACTACCTAGGAGGGGGGAAGGAAAGAAGAAATTTAATAGAAGAATTTTAGTTAAATGTTCAACAATTTAGAAAATTTACACGGTTTAATTTTGTAATGGTATAACACTTTTGCAATGTCACAACGATGTTGGTGTGCTGTTGAGGTGGATACTTCAATCACACTGATCCAATATAATTCACATGTTTAAAGACTGTGAGGAATACCTTTTAGTAATATAAAGTGTGTTGAATTTGTCTTATAGAAAGGGTCAGAAACATAAAAATATTTATCTGAAAAAAAAATTATGCAAGTATTTTACAATATTCAAAGAAATAGCATTTTCGTTCACAAAACAAGAAACTGAAAAATGCACACATATACAACATATCTTGTGTCGCAGTATTTATATTAATCATTAATTTATCAATAATTTTTAAAAAATCATGAACACAAATATAAATTATGTACTTTGCATATGACTGTACAATGAAAATGTAGCCAAGCAATATGTTCAGTTCATGAATGATCAGTAGAGTAGCAAAATAAAAGACAAAAGTTTACTTACCACCTAACTCCAAATTCTCAGGTGGCTTGTAAAAGGCAAGTCCTAAGGATACTAAAGCAGCAATTTCTAATATAATTAATGTGATATCTTGCAGAGCTTCCCAAACTAATTCTAAGAATGTTTTGGGTGGTTTTGGAGGAATGACATTTGCACCAAATGTGTTTTGTCGATGCTCAAGGTCTGCTGCAGAACCACTGAGACCTGAAAAGACATAAGTGAAAATATAATAATGCAAAAACTGAAATAAGGGAGGAAACAAAATACTTAAAAATTAAATTCAGGACATGACATAAAAATCATCATTTAGATAAATCCAGAGAAATTTTAAACATAAGTGGAAGAGAAAACTGCCATTATAAAAATTAATGAATTGGTTATTTATTAATTTAAATTAATGGATACAATATCGGGCTAAGGGTTGCTGTATGAGTGTTACACTTTCAATATACATAAAACCGTGCAATAAATATTTGGTTAGTTTGTCATATGCTATTATAAAGAAGCTGATAAAGCTGTAGGGTTCTCTGGAATAGAAAATTACATTACAGCAAAAATTTTGAATTTTCTCTACTTTCTGAGAAACAGTAAATAACATATTAATGGAAGTCCTAGTCCTTACCTTGATTTGATTTTTGAAATAAAGTTCTCAACGAAAAATTATCGCCAAATTATTAAATCTAATCTCTAGTTACTGAAGTTTTCTAAAAATCCTGATACATTTTCCCATGAATATCATCTATTTCAGTTTTGAACAGAATGTTTTAAGCTTATCATTAAAACTTGTTGAACGATACACAATGCATTAGCATATCCATTTTAGATTAGTTCACGTGAATAAAAGAACTGAATTTAATCATAACTGTGGGCATTATAGCAAAAGGATTAAAGGAGCTTTACATCAACGAAGACAGAGTTTAGAAATACAGAGGTTTACAGAGGTAAGTAAAATCACAACACAAAAATAAAATAAAATAAAAAATTTACAAATGAAACATTACAAATAAATATTCAGAAAGAAAAGGATGCCATTATCTTGAACATGGATAAAGGGATTAAACTTAATGTTCACAGAATTTAGCCGAGAAATGAGTTCTTTCTTCGTTCCAAAAGCTTTGAACAGTACAACAAATGTTCAACATTCTGTACTTCCCTGAAGATACAAGAACACAAGTCTGTATTACATAGCCCAAATCTCTTCAGAAATGAGTTAAAATTACCATGGCCAGCCAGAAACTTAGTAATTTTAAAACTGCAGAAAAAAATTTTTATTACCAAATCTGTGAGAAATGGAAGGAAAAAATAATTTATTCAGAGAGGCAGTAGAAAAATTTCTGTGCAATTCTATCCACTTGTTTTATTCCAACTTTGTTTCTGAAACAATGACTTGGACAGTGTCATTGTGGTGCTGACTTGAAGATTTGTAGCTTGTTTGCTAACTAATCATCTCATTTATTTTCTAGTTTACCAGTGCGACATCCATAAAATTCCATCAAACCATTATTATTAAGATCTTTAAGAATTACATGAGAGTGGAAATTAATTTATTACAGAAAATATATTACAGGAAGAGAACATAAGAATGAAAGAGAATTAGTGCAAATAAGAAAGTTATATCTTAAAGAACAATGATTAGATATCCACTTAATTTATTCATAAATGTTTGGCTTGGAGAAGACCAAACTCGTTGGGAATTCTAAAAGTTTCTATTCCAGTTCAGAACTATGGTAAAAAAAGCTAGTCCAACTTGATTATTAATTTTATTGCCATCTGGAATATTATCTTCAGTGGAATTGTAATAAACTATAATTTGAATTGGCAAATAATCAGCAGTTTGAGAAAGATCCTTGAACAACATCTTGGTATCGAACATTAATTTGCCAATGTTATTTTTAAACTCTTTGTTACGTAAAATATGAAGATCAATTGGGGGAATTATAAAACAGGCCTCATTGCTAATTATTCTAAAGCCATACACCACTCTTAAAAAACAATTTTTCTAATGAATTTTCCTAAAGTGGGAAGACGACTAATGCATCTCAAATTACCTAAATCCAGAATCTGAAGACCACTTTTCTAAGATAAAAACAACATTTGCTCTCTTCCAGCGATGAAGAAATGAATCAAGCTACGAACAAGTACTGAACATTTTAGAAAGCAAATTTGGAATTGCTTCTAAATTTCATTTCAAATAGAATCAAGACCAGGAACTTTATTGGACTTCAGTTTTTCAACAATTCTGTTAATTTCTGAACTGTTGAAAAAGGAATTCTGATTAGCAGGAAAATTTCCATTAAGAACATTATTTACTGCTTTTTCTAGTGATTTAGTGCTATTACAAGATGGGAGAAAAATTCTAATGACTTCAATTCTTTTCATAGAATTTTGCTTTATACCATTTGTATATATTTCCTCTAAAACATGCCTTTTATTAATAGTCATTAAAAAATCTCTCTGAGGGTTAAACATTGTGTCCTGGAGTTCTGGGCTATCTTAAGCATAGATTTTTTTTTTTATTATATAGCCCTCTAATTGTAGGATTACAATTTTTTTTAAACCTATTGTCTAGCAGCCTTAACCTGATTTCTCATGCATAACAATATTAATTATAAACACACTAATATACCATTAATTATACTATTTACTTAAAAAATTAATTCTCATTAATTTACTTCAAAAATATTTTTTGTTCAAAACCTCTCATATTATTTTTGAAACAGTTAAAATATGGATTTGCAGCTTTTGGAAATCCAGCTGTGGTTCTCAAATTTTCATGAATACTAACATGCAGCTCCTATCATCATGAAGTTTGGCAAACAGTGTATCTGCTAAACTAAAATATCAAATTTATCACTGAATGAACCACAGAAAAGACAAACATGAGGCAGTTAAACTGCATCAGTTATTGTTGGCTGGTCATAGTCCCAGCTGCAAACACATATAGAGGTACACAGTCATTGATCAGGATGCCGGCTCATATCCATTTAGCTAAAGGGGAATTTTCAAGCTTCTTTTCCATCACATGCATTTATTTCCTAACAAAACTTTATTTGAAAGATTTTAACTCTGACAATAGTTAAAAATCAGATTTTAAATTTACGTCCAAAGAGGTGTTTTTTTCAACATTTTATGTGTCACCTTTACTTATTAAATAACATGTTCTTCGCACTTAAAACATAAAATTCAGTTCAAGAGCAATATCGCAAAATGATTTGAAACTGAGCATATCTTTAGAGTTTCTGATACACAGTCACACACACTGGAGATAAAACTGTTTTTTCTATACGATGTTGCTATAAAAATAATATAATAAAAAATTCGTAAACGTTTTTACAAAATATGAAATTGATAATAAAACAAATTCTAAATTTGGGCTTCCAGATGACCATATTTGCAGTAGGATTACGTCAATCAAAATTGGATGACTCTAGGTACCATTTTATCACAATGCAAGAAACATACATACATTTAAGCAGATTCTTCATTATTTAATTTTTTCAAATATAAAACAGGGCAACATTTGGTGGCAACAATTTGAAAAGTTAAACGAACATTCAGAGTGATTCAAAGCAAAACCGCAGAATGAAAACAATAGTCCCTCAGGGACAAAGCCCCTTTGAGAACTAAAAAAAAGAAAGAAAATCTGAAAGGTTTCAGATTTTAATATATGTCCAAAGGGGCATTTTTTAAATATTTTGTGTCTTACCTTTATTTATTAGATATCATATTCTATGTACTCAAACTGTAAAATTCAGTTGAACAGTAATATCGCAAAATAATTTTAAAATGAGCATATCTTTAGAATTTCGGATACAGAGTCTCGCAAACTGAAAATAAAAATGTTTTTTCGTACAACTTTCGTCTTTGCTCGCTTTGAAATCATTTAGTTTGTTAATCAAAAATTCGTTAAAGTGTTACAAAATATGAAATCGATAACAAAACAAGTTTCAAATTCAAATTAGGGCTTCCACATACCCATATTCTATGGAAGATTACGTTATTCAATTTTGATGGCTCTAGGTACCATTGTTTTATCACAATGCGAGAAACATATACATACATTCATGCCGATTCTTCATTATTTAATTTCTTTATTTTTCTAATTGTTATTCTGTATTATTCAATATAATACTGGGCAATAATATTTAATGGCAACAATTTTAAAAGTGAAACAACGCTTATCGTGAATCGATGCAAAATGCAAAAAAAAAAAATTAATAGTCCTTCTGGGCCAATTGAACCAAATTGAATTTCTGGAAGTTTTAAAAAAATATATTCCCCCTTTTCCGCATTTATACATTACAAGGATTTTGCCTCATATTTACCCAGTATCAGCCCAAACAGTAGAAGTAATAGAATTTTGCATTTTATTTAAATCAAATATTTAAAGTAAAATACAAAAAAGGTAATAAATATGTAGCAAAAACACTCAATGTTGTGTGTTCTTATACAAATAAAGAAAAACTACTCTTTCCTTCAAATTTTCAAATGATTGAAACTTAATTAAATGTTTAATATCAATTAATTCAAACATTAAGGTTATATGATACACTTATACATATTAAATTAATCTTCAGTTTCGAAATATTATGTTGAAACATGTTTTTACATGGATATAAAAAATAGAAATAATAATATATTGATTTTAAATACAGAAAATTTGGTTGCTTTAATTTTGCACAAAATTAGCCACATCACATCTTGCCACACACATCTAGCAATTATGTCATATATCAGTGGTTTCATACTCAAATTGCAAGCGGCCTGAATGCATGATTTGAAAACAGCTGACATGACAAAAAATGTTTAACAAAATTAAAATATTTTTTATTAAAAAATAAATAACAAATATACTAACCAAATGAAAAATATTTTAAACAAATTTCAAATTTTCCTTGCTAAGCATTTTTCACATCCTGTATACACAATAATAATAATACCACAAAGGAAAAAAAAATTCAAAAACTTAATATTTATTTTCTGTCTGAAATCTTAAGTTTGGTACCTGCAAGACATTTTTTATGGGTGACAATTTATAACACACACTTTGTAATATTAAAAGCTAAATATTAAATTTTAAGACTGACATTTATTTAAAATAGTTCTAATAAGTCTAACTAATTGTTAAATATCTTACTTTAGTTTAAATTGAAAGAAATTATGAAAGCATTCTTAACTTTTCAGAGAAAATTTTCCAAGCAAGACAAAACTTGAGAATAAATAATGACAACATAATCTCCTTTTCTTATTTATTAAACTTTTCTCAATGCATATATAAAGTTACATATACTTGTATATAAATTATAAATTTCTTTTATTTCTTATTATAACTTGACATTTCATAGCATTTTGATAAAATTTGTAGCCTTGGAGAGATATTGTTAGAAATTATTTTCATTATGAACCATAGATGCTTGAATTTGTATTCATTTTTTGACAAATATAAATAAAAGTTAATAAAAATCTGTATCCTGGAAGTTATGAATAAAATTTATATCATATTATAAATTAGTTAGCTCCATTTACAGATTTTCTGATGTGTTATTCACATCAGTTTTTAATGGTAATGCAAATAATGTAAACTCGGTCTAATAATAAATAAAGTCCTTGAAATCTTTGCGACATTGTGTTTGCAAGAAATCCATAATTGAAATAATTTTCCAGGTTACATAAAATTGCTTCAGGGGACACATGATGCCTGCAGGCCACCAGTTTGACATAACTCTCATATATATTCATGAAGATGATAAGTAGAAAGCCTCTTAAATGTGTGCCTTCAAGTCTTTTTTTCGATAGCTTATCTTAATCAAACTGGACTGAAAAAAAGAAACCAAATGACTTTATAAAGTTAGATTATGGATTACAGAGGACATTCAATGAATGCAGAGACTGAGGACTGGCCACAAACATATCACTGTCACCCTATGTCAGGAGAATTTGGTTGCATCCAGTACTTTACATTCAATTCAGACATTTAATTCTTTTCTTTTTTTCCTTCTAAAAGTAAGATTCTACAAATCCCAAAACATCTATTTTCTAATAATATACAGTAGACAGGGAATAAATATAAAAAACTCATAAAAAATATAAAGTTCAAAATAAAATAAAATATAGCAAACTTTTATATTTTCAAATTTCAAGACTAAATTATCAATGAAATCTTACCATCTGTTGGAGATGTATAAAGCTTTTTACAAAGTTCTTGTACACCTGAATACTCTTCCTTTATCCTCTGGATGGCTTCTCGACCACGACATTCCATAAGCTCTCTCAGATCTTTCAACTCCACCCCATACTGGGCTGGACGCCCATCCACTGTATCCATATTGGATACCTAAGGTGAAAGTATACATAAAATAATGTTATCTATATTTATATAAATATAGTAAAATACACAGTACGAAATCAAGACATCCAATATCTCAACAACCAAAACCAATAGAAGGGAAAAGAAATTTCTATGCTAAAGTTCAGGAGTGGAAAAAATAACACTCAAGCAAGAAAAAAGTAATAACATAACAGAATTAATAATAAAATCTAAAAGCTTTCATATTTTATATTATTCCAAGATGGGCATTTTTTAACGTTTTGTGTGTTAACTTTATTTATTAAATATCATGCTCTTCACACTTAAACCATAAAATTCAGTTCAACAGCAATATCACAAAATATTTACAAGAGCATATCATTAGAATTTCCGATACACAGTCTCGTGCACTGGAGATTTATTTCTTAAGGCCTTAAGCTCCTGTCAATCAACGAATTTGTATCACCAAATTTCTGGTGTTAACATATGTGCAGAAGAGCAATTTTCTGTTCAGTTGTATTTAATTAACTACTTACAGCATAAGGAATTGGTTGCTACATTAACTTAGTGAGCATATTTTTTTTTCATTACCCTTTAATTTTGATGACCAGCATATATTGTCTAGTTTCAGCCTTTTAGTGATACTGGGGGGTATAGCATTTTTTCTATCTAACCTAGCTAATAAGTGAAGTCCAAGCCACGTTTCTCTGGAAGTGGATATTGGTCACAGGTTTTCTATTGCTAGCGTAGCATGGGAAAGGGTTAGGTTAGGTTATTTAATTACGGCAAAGTCTTGAGGGCTATCTGTCTGAGGGGAGGGACACCTTCATGGAGGACTTTCTAAGGGAATCTGGCTCGTATATACGTTACACTTGGGGAAAAGCATGAAAACACCCATGCAGCCAGCCCGTTCAAGGGATTCAAACCTCGGACCAAACTACCAGTGCTCAGCGACTTTACCGCTCGGCAGAAGGAAAAAAGAATTAGACTGAGAGGAACTTAAGGTCAGTTACCATAATAAATTGCATTCATCCTTCATTTTTTAATTTGATCTAACTGATTATTTTTTACAGGAATTATTATCACAGCTATCTTAATAAAATTGAAGTTTTGATTATGTCTAAAACAGTTTCTATCTCGGAAACTGCAGCAGGACCTGCAAGGTGAAAACACGTTTTGATATCAATCAAATAAAAAGTGAATTGCTTAAAAAATGGTTAAAGTCCTATCCATTTCAAAATTATGTAAGCAATATGCCAATAAACAGTCAACAGTAAACAACAATCCCTCCCAGTCCTTTTTATTTTTTAAATTTTGACAACCTACTTGCAATGAAAAACAGAAAAATCATGTGTTAAGCTACAAGTAATGGTAAAATGCATGAGACAGCATTGCAGTGAAGGTAAGCCATTGACGAATCCAATAGTCATAAGGAAACAGATTTAGAAACTGAGTGCACACATTCAACAGGTTATAAACTGCCATGGTAAAAGAATTTAAAAATTTCAGGCAAGAAAGCTTCAGCTGATTAATAGTTAAACAATTTGCAGAAGAATTCATCGAACTCATTAGCAGCAAAATGTTACAGACTGAATAAATTTACAACACTGATCATTTTAAGCAATACAGTACAACGTCTGTAATCCGGACTTGTCGGGACTTCGGCGATTCCGGATTACAGATCATCAATTTAAATCTGGTAAGATGGAATGCAGAAATTATACAATTAAAAATATGAAACCATAATTTATGAAATAAAGAGCAATTATGATCTAAAGGTATCAAAAATTTACAAAAAAAAAGCTTAATATTTTTGTTTTACTTTATTAAACATTTCTTTCATTGTAAGTTGTTTAGTTGGTTTGTTTTTTGTGCTAATACTTTCTTCTTTAATTTCTTTATATAAACAGACATAATTTCTTGTTCAGCTACAAAGTTCCACTGTTCAAATCCTGTAATTGCTGTGTCGAGAATACCGACTAACTTGTCAATCGAAATTTTTTTCATTGTTAATAACCTTTCTGTCACTTTCTTCACTATCGGAAGTGCGCGTGTGTAAATACTTTACTGGCTTTACACGCATGTGTAGCGGACGTGTGCATCAAACACGCATGTGTAAGTTTGTGGCTTTGAGGTCAGGATTATAAATCATTCCAGATAATGGACGTTCGGATTATGGACTTTGTACTGTATATGCTCTGAAATACCTTCACAATCTCCATAGAAATGGCTCCATCTGATGTCAAAAATTCCAAAATGAGACTAATGATTCTGGCATGTGAAGATGCTGCAAGAACATACACGTGTAAACTTTTCATAATCGGAAAAGATACACAACCTCAGGCATTTAGAGGAGTAAGATTTTCTTTGGCATTCATTGTTCTAATATACAAGTGGAGATGACACAAATACAAATAAATAAACTAGTTTAAAAATCATTTCATACCAAAGACACAGCAATATCTGAAATTGATTGGTTTACCCGCTGAAGCAAAGATGCAAACTTTGTACTGATTATGCACAACTGTTTGGCTCATATTTTACTTAAAATTTTAATACAGGATAATATCTTTATCTCATTATTTCACCTATGTTATACATCTATTGTTCAGTCTGTCAATATTAGAGAGCTTTTGTGCTAATACTTTTTAATGTTAATAAGAATTTTTGGAATATTTCAATATGAAATCTTCTGAGTGCAGCACTGCAGGAGAGGGCAGATATTTTAAAGACATGCTTGGCATTAATTTATGGTTAGCTATTATGTGTAATGATGGTATGCAAATTTGAAGGTTTTTGGTTATCACAAGCAAATGCAAAATTGTCCAGTTAATGAAATTTTTGAAGAAATGCGGAGAAGTCATAATAAATGAAGATAATATAACAGAGAAGTCTTCCACTGTGATGGCAATGCTCCAATCATCAGTCAAGTAACAGACAGCAAAATCCACAGTATGGTTTAAATTTAAAATATATTACTACTGATGGCAAAGAAAGTGATAAGTAATTGGGAATGAAAAGATTTCGATTGACAGTTTAGTGAGAATTCTCAATATGATTATAGAATTTGAACAATGGATCTTTATACCTGAGTAAGAAATTATGAATACATCTATTAACAAAATTAGAAAGAAAATATTAGCACAAAAAATGAAAAAGATGATACAACTTAACTTGAAAAAAAAAAAAATATTTGATGAAACACGCAAATAAATATTGAAGTTTTTTGGGGGCTGGGGTAATTTTGATTTTCTTAAGGTTATAAGTACTTCATTATTATATAAGTAACTACTTTATATTTTTGATTTTATAATTTCTACATGCCATTTTACTAGATTTAAACTAACAACTTTGTGAAATTTGGAATCGTCAAAGTCCTAATGATTCTGGATCTCAAACTCTGTACGAGTTATTTTCGATGGTGAATGACAGATTTACGGATTAAAGCAGCTTGATACATAAAGATGGTGGCAATCATTATGGCTGGTTCAAAACTTTCTTTTATTGCCACATAACATTTTTGAGGCAAACAGCCAAACTGCTGCAATCTGGAAGTCTGTTCTTAATCAATTACAATATTTTTTTAAAAAAACATCTGTATTACAACATACTTGATGAAAGAAAGATACACACAGTGACATGTTGACACAACAATAAGCATGAGAAAAATGCTTGGTTTCCAAACGAAGGTTTGACTTCCTTTCCTTATGGCTAATATTAGGTTTCCGTTTACAAACTTTAATATTATAACTAGCTGCATTATTCAGTTGCCTGCACAATTAATGTTATGTAAGAATCATGTGAGATGGATTAATTATAACCAAAAATTGTAATTCTTCATTGGATAGCGAGATTTCATTTCCTATTATATTTTTACCACAAAAGTAAAATTCACAGGTAAAAAGTAAAATTTCAATAAAACATGAAAAGTTTAGCAAGGAATATTTATGAACATGAAAAATAGCAGGCAACCTAAGTCATTAAATCATACTTAACATATATTTCACATAAGCAAAACACTCAGCAAATTAAAAAATTATTATGATATAAGCAAAGTGGGAAACTGGCACTGTATGTGTTCAGATGTAAGTATACAATATATAAAAATTTACTACTGAAAAGAGTTCTTATTATATGCAAAAGAATTCTAACTGGAAAAGTGATTACATCAAAGGATTGTTCCCAATACAGATGACATAAGAAAGAGCAGAGCAATAAAATGGAAATATTCTTAAACAGTAGCAATATGCATCATTCAGTATTAATAATACAATATATTAGATAACAAGAAAAATACATACAAAAGACAATCAAAATAACAATACACATATCCATATGAAAAAACTTACTCCTCATCAGAAGCTTACGAATTACCTTATAATGCGAAAGGAAAAGATAGTATAGACGTAAAAACAGACTGAAGGTCAGATTTACATACAATGAAAGAATGGGACACTTTTTCATTCCAATGAGAAACACTGGAATCTTAACAAGAAATACATTTTTGTCATTAATATTGCAAAACTATGCTTTTAACACCCTCCCAAATAATAATTACAAAAGAATAAAAGTACATAAAACAAACTAGTGACAGAAGTATCTAATATTAATATTTTAATCTGAGTTTCTTGTTGAAATATATTTTGATTTTTGTTGAAATGATTACTTTTCACTTTGAGATTCTACATTTGGTACTGAAATAGAGTAATTTCCATTTTGAACAAATTTTTGTTGAAAAAGGCAGTTGTAAAAAACTATTTTCATTTCTTTGTCTAAAACATGACTTTTTTAATCATGTTCTCTTGACCACAGTCTAAATACATTCCAAGTTTCAATATGCATGTTACTTAAAAGGGCTCAGATTCAGTAATCTGGATAGGAAAGTTTTAATTACAGCCATCCTGTTTCTGGAAGTTTACTATTATTACTGGCTTCATTAAAACTAGACTAAAACTTTAAAAACTTGTAAATAACTGCTGCCAGTCACTTTGCTTCCAAGTCTGGGCAAAATATAAAACATATTTATA